ATATCAGCTGAGTTATTGACCAACTGACTTTGAGTTACTTCGATATCAAAAGTTTAAATTTATTATCCAAGAAATCATTACAATTACTAAATCCGTCTGCTTATCAAACAGTTCGACAATTCTCACTTCGTTCAATATTGATGATGTTTTCGATAGTTATTGTTAAGGTATTGGATTATTGGGGGCGTGAGTCACTGTGAAGGTGATACGATATTGGAGATAATAAGATAGGATAAAACTGATAAGATAAAGGTGTAAATAAAATAAAACCAATGTTGTTGTTTTTATCTTATTGATATTGATTCACGCTTGATTTTTTTTTCAATAAATTTTAGTTAGAACAAGTAATTATGTGAGGTTTTTGAATGGTAGCAACATGTTTAAAGCTGTAGTCGTAAGCACATTATCATTGATAAATAATTTCATTTCACTCCCAACGGTGCACATCAGGGGGAAAAATTCTATTTAAAAAGCTGAAACGGAATTTTCAAAAAAAAACTGCTTAAAGAAAGAAGAAATATCTTTTAAAATTTGAAATTCTGCTAAAAAATTACGCTCAAATGCTCCCCGTCGGTGAACACAGGGAGCGGTCATTCGCCGAGGAGGTCCCCCCTGCGCAATTTGCTCCCCGACCTTTTCGCGGGGACCCCCAGTCCGAAAAACTGCTCCCCGACGAACACTAATTCCTATGCACTGGATCGAGGGTCGGTCTGAACGATCTCTGTCGTGTTTAACGCTATTCACAATTATCTTATGATTATCATTCTTCGTTTTTGTACCATTTGTATCTTATCTAAACATTTTATCTTATTTACAAGTATATTGAAAAATTTATAAATTCTGTAATGTATACATCACGTTATTCATATATCATCATTTTATTCTTTATCTTATCCTCAATCTTGACCAATATCACATCGCTAAATTTATTATTAAAAATTGTTGTTGCTTGCTTTCGATTTTCTCTGTGTGTGTTTGAATCAGGCTCGCTCCTCCATCGTTCATCTACAGTTGACTTGAACCCGTGTTTCAACTTATCCTGTTCATTGAATTCACCCTGTATCGTCTGAATTGCTCCCCTTATTGAGCCTCAACTCCGTCGCTCAGTCAATCGTCAACCCATCAGTTTATTCATTCGATAGTTTTCCGCTCCAACAAAACCCACACCTTTCCCCTTTTCTCCACAATTCGTCCAGTAAAATGAATCGTGCCTCTTAATCTCATCGCAGTTGTTTTTCATCACAAACATACCGTCATCCTTATCCTTACAACTCCCGTCAGTTATTACCATCTTCGTTCTGCTGTA